AACTTTCTAGTCGTCAGTATAAATTAAAAGAAAACATTTTAGTTAGCTGTACTCCATTCAAGTAGATCTTCTTCAAGTTCTGTTAGCATACACCTACCTCCGTTAGTACCAAAAATTTAAACCAGTGACAACTCTTTGTAAGTCAATAATAAATCGATATATCATCTAGCTAAGGCATTCCTATGTACATTAAAAAATTTAAGCTTCTCCCATGGAAATATATTTACAGTGCATGAACATAAAGCATGAATGTAATGTTGAAAATTTACTTTAGTTCCAAAGAATATGTTCAATAAAATCAGTCTATAGCAGTTGCATAGTCGGCAGAACGAACACCTTCAAAGTTCTGTGTCATATTCCAGTAGACCTTTCAAAAAAGGTTACAACTCAACTTCTGCACTTATCTGAGACTACAAAAATATGAGAAGGCAAGTCGAGTCCCTGTGATTGGAAATGTTTGTTATGCTCTTGTATGTGCTCTATACAGAGTGGGAGATAAATGGATAGGTCTTGAAACTTCTTTACTCCCAGCCTATTTTTCCTTTCTTCCATATATTTACTATATTTATTTAGATTAAGATTATTCAGCGCTTAATTTTTAATAGAATTTTCTGTTTTTATAGTTATGCCGACCACTTTTACTTCTGTCTGGTCTATGATGGCTGGTAGTAGTAGATTCCTGGTCACGCACCTCATCTCCATTCGGGACTTGTCAGCGGGCTATACTTGTATCCTTGTGAGTTATGTTACCCTTTGAGACTTGAATCCAGTACACATCGTTTCAAACATTATTTATTATTAACGTCAGTATTGTTACCAATTTCACCTTTATCATCATTAATTTCATTATGATTATCGTTACTAGTAAACATATAATCTACAACTTTATTATCAACCTACAAGTCATCAGCATTCGTTTAGATTTTATGTATTCTCACAGCTATCTGTATGACAGGTAAACAGGAAGGAGATTCCGCTGAAAACAATATAGTTTGTGTATAAGTCATATGATTTTATCAATGAGAATCTTTAATAAGAGTAAATATTAATTAACTCTTATTACTGTTTTTTATTTGCACCGTGTGCATCTTATTTCCTGCAGACTTTCGCCCTAGATGAATTCATCACCTGATCAATAATACATTTCTAAATGAATATGAAAAAGATTTATGTATTGAATTCAGTCCTAATTAAAACCAGGTGTCATAGTAAGTGCACACTATACTGTGACCATGGTTGTGGCTTTAAATAGGCAATCTCTAGCAGGTTTTAATTAACTTTTCAAAATTACATTGGTGTTAACTGGTTTATACTGATTTAAAACATTCTAGCTGTTTCAAATCAGATGAAATGATTTTAAATAGTCAGATATACTGTATGTTTTAAGAAGATTGACGTCCAATTTTCGTTCAATTTAGATCTCACGATGTATGGATTTTAGTACCTTTGAAGGTGTTCCTTTGCAAAAATGATTGTATTTTATCAATTACTAAGCTAAACTCTGACGTAATTCACCGGGACATACTCTGATAGGCATGGAACAACCTATTCAAGACTGAAGTGCTAGACTTTGAATCTCAGAAATAAAGTCTTTCATGACTGCAGATACACTTCAGTTACGAGTAATAGTACTTACTAAAATTATCTTAAGGTTTGTCAATCAGAAGAATACACAGTCACTGCCGTCAATTTTACTTAGTAGGCAAAAATATCCAGCTGATGGATGGTAAATGAAACTTAAACAGAGCATGTACCCCATGACGTAAGTAAGTGTTATTCATATAATTTGTATGACATTCTAACCAACACAAGTTTGGTTCTACTTTTCATCACCTTTAGCACTTCTGTAACTGAAGTTTTATCAAGCATTTCTACGCTTAACTTTGAAGTTTCACCTCTTCCTTGTTTATAAATGATGCGATATAAGAGTATAGCAGCCACCTTCTGATAGTTTAAGTTTATTCTTTTTCTGTTAGTCTGCTGATACGCACTGTGGAGGTATAACTTCAGTTCGGTAACTATCTTTATTGTCAAATAGATAGCGTAGCTATGGATAGTTCACTTTGCCCTATTTCAGAAGACATCTTCAAGTCCAACCTTGAGACAACAAAGTTTTAACCTGCAATCGACAAAACAGCCTCTTTTTTTAATTGAATTTTAGATTTTCCCGTCGATTGATTGGACCGAAGTGCTCGGTCTCAGGTTGACATGTCGGCTTCTTGTGCAGATGCTTCGACGATGTCTGGGAATTTCATTAGTATTTAATTGGTGGATAGTGACTAGCAGTGGAATCCAGTCAGGATGCGCATTTCGTCTTATTTGGGGCTTGTCAGTAGAAATGCAGGTAAATCCAGATAACGAGTCCCAAATGGGACAAAATGTGCATCCTGGATTCAACTGCTAGTCACCATCCACCAATTAAAAACAACCTCTTATTGTCGATATGACGACGACACATTTTTAGTATGCAACAATGAAAGTCACAAGTGCTATCTACTCGGATTATTCAACGATGCACATAAAAATAGTGAATTAACTATGGAGTATGAAATTAACAGACATTTCTTGGACATCACCGTGCAACTCCTGTATGATGGTTGTCTCCTGAGTGCAATTTACCGAAAGCCTACATGGAATGGACAATACTTACATTTTAATAGTTTTTGTCCAAATAGCTATAAATGAACGCTAGTTAAAAACTCTGTTTCACAGAGTCAGGAGAATATGCTCTATAGAGGAATTAAAGGAAGAATTTATGATTCTCAGAAAGATGCTGAAAAGCAAAAGTTACCCTCAGAAATTATGGAAGATATGAAGGCCTAAATGTCAAGCAAATCACAGTGGAAAAAAGCCCATCAACATTCAACTTGATTATAAAGGTGAAAACATTACAGTAATTGTCAGCAGTAGATTGAGGACGTCACTAAGCATAGCCTATCCTGAAACTAAGTTGGTTCCGGTTTACCGGACAGCATGCTCATTGGTGCAAAAAAGTTGACAGATACCCTTCTTATGTTAACTCTAACTGCGTATTCAAATTTACATGTGTCTGTTTGAGCAGTTACATTGGAAGAACAGAAAGAAGGGCACACCTTCGATTTTCTGAACATGTACCAAAAAGCCTACAACTCAAGGGGACAAATGATTACAACAGTGCCATTGCCAGACATCTTGTCAATACTGGTCATAAGGTGGACACCACAAAATCCTTTAAAATTATCAGTAGACGAAATAGTACAGTTCTCTTCAAGTTTGCCGAGACAATCTATGTCAAACACTTGAAACTTGATTTATGTGTTTAGAAAGAAGCAGTTATCGGTCTTTCCCTGTCCGGGTAACCGGATGTTATTACTCTTTCATTTGATTACATGGTCCTTGGCTTTGACCTCTCCCCCTCCCCTTTGATATAGTGTAATCTTGCTTGTCTCTTGTTTTTATAATCTGAGATGAACTCAACCTATTGTTACTCAGTTTACTAGTTACCGTTTTATTCACCTCTTCTCCTTATTACCTTACTTTTTGTCATTGGACCAAGCATTTTTTTCTGTTTAACCTTGAATTTTATGGATATAACCTGTACAAGTGTAAATTCTAAGCACTGTTCAATAAGTTTGGAGTCTCCTGTCAACTGATACTATGCAAAACGTTTTGGTATTTCAGAATTTTTCTGTAAATAAACTTAATAATTTCTTTAGGCTGTACTCAGCTGATGAGAAGCTGACGAAATAAATGATGATACTATCTTATTTAGCAGAAACTATCGTTCTTGCCTTATTCAAATTCAAAAAGAGGAATTAGTGTCTGAGGTTACCTTGATGATGGATGTAAATAAATAATCTTCAAAATGTCATAAATATTCATCAGTTCTGTTCATTCAACTTAAAAGTAAATTGAGGCCTTCAGTACATCCACTTTAATAAGTATTAAATTTGTTTAAATGCTTCTCAGTCTTCTGGCTAATCACTTGGTCAGTTCAACTGACATTTTAATCATTCAGACTTACAGAAATAAGTTTTTACTAACACAAAGTCAAATTTTAAAAAAATGATCATTTGATTGTTAACTAATGTAGACGGATGATAAGTGAATATAAAATGGAAACCTACCCAACAAGGAGATTCTAGTCTGAGATTCACCGCATTACCTGATACTAATACTTCTGCAACCAGAGTTTTTACTCTAAGTCATTAATCATCATAAAACAAAAGTTTGCTTGTAAAATAGGGCTCATAGTTTTTCCCCAAGTATTCATGAATTACTTTCTGAAATACGTATAATCTGTGTGTGCATGTGTTTGAATGCTAAGACATGTTTCATGTAAAAGTTACATAATAGTAAAAAAAAAAGATCCATGATAAAAGTAGTAACCAGTGGTTTGATCGCAAGTTGATATCAAATAGAGAAGCATTGGAAAATCATGAAATACTGGATAGATATTTCATCCTAGTTTGGAACTCTCCAGTAGCACGCGCCAACCAGGGCTCGAATTCAAGGTCCCTCGGCTTACGAGGCCAGCTAGTAGACCATCCGACCAATAGGACCCCGCCAAGCGGCATATTAACCCCGTTTTCCACTTATTCTCGACATATATAGCAGAACAACCCGCTGTGCAATACTCACTGGTTCTACAGTGATTCTCTAACTGATGTCACCTCCTCATCAAACCCACAAACGATCAAATCCTCACAACACAACACCTGGTAATAACTAGTGATTTCAATGCTTTTGCACCGTATCACAAGATCAGTCTTAATGTTTTGTTCCCAATAGAAAAACAAAGTTTTATTACGGCCGTTGAACACGTTAGAATCCAGCGCTTAGCATACTCTATGGCCTCTAATTCGTAGAATATAAACATTCTAATCTTATAACTTCGTGTTTTAAGTTTTGTCTTAGAACCCTTTCGGTTTTTCATCGATGTTGTATGTATAGAATTACTCCACCAAGTAAGATACTCTAATTAAACTAAATGATAATTTAGATAAACATTGTGAACATACATTATCGCTTGTAGTTCCATAACCACCGATTGAAGATAGAAAGCAACCAGATGTAAGGGAAAATAATTTTACACTTGGTGCAGCCCAATCAGTAATTGCTAGACATCCTCCACTCTCTTCAAGAATTTCTACATAATAAGGTTCAGTTAATGAGGTTCGACTGTTAAAAACAAATTTATTCGAATTCTCATCTCCTGTACTATCAGCTGGTATTCGACGAACAGGTGATTGTGGATCACTACGTATATCATAAAGACTAATTTGATGCCGTCGACTTTCTACAACAGCTAGCAATCCAAGACCATAACATAAACCACGTGGATGTTTAAGTTTTGTTTTTGTTAATGAACCTTGTGTGCGTCCATCCAAAGTGAATAGTCGGACCTAAAAAGAAGAAAGCATAAAAATTAAGGGTTTGTTTTAATTTTGTGCTGTATTTAAGCAGAATTTTCAAAAGCAAGTTGTAAATACATTTCGTCAATGATATGTTTCAGTGACAGTAAGGTGGGAAAACTCTAATCACTTGGGTGTGTTTCTTTGTAGAAACATCTTAAGTTTTGCTTTATACCAGAAAAAGCTACTTAAGTGCGTACCCCAGATTCCACTGCTAGGTGGCACCAAAAAATCTCAGCGGTGACGATATTTTATCACACGACATGAAGCCTGAAAACTGAGGAAAATTACTCTGATTTTATATTAGCTGTTAGATAACCATCGTCAAAATGTCACTACCTATAAGTACTACAACTATGAAGCTTCTTCGGAATAATTTAATTATTTTTAATTTACTTTGTTTTATCCAGTAATAATATGCAGTTAAGATTTCATTGAGAATAATCTCACCGTCACCACTGATCTACACAAGGCTTATCGGGCGTTTAGTTATTGACTCTCCTTTTAAAGATGTGAGGACTTTTAATATGCAATATTATTATTATTACATCCTTTCATCCCTAGAGGAACATAGGGCTTCAGCCAAACGTCTCCATTGCCTTCGATTTTCTGCCAACTTTTTCACCCCGCTCCAAGTCTACCCACATGCTTTCACCTCCTCTTCACACCACCTCCCTCAAGTCACCCTTGCAATGACGACCAACTCGCCGCTTCCCTTTTGGGTTCCACTCGAACACTGGCTTGTCTAGTGATGTCACTTGGTGGTTTCCTCAGCGAATGGCCAATTCATCTCCATTTCTTCCTGCCTATTTGTTTCACAATCGGTTCCTGCCGAGTTGATTCGCTCCCAGAGATCCCTGTTGTTGATCTCTTCCGGCGGGTCATCTGATCTTGAGTATTGAACGAAGACAACTGTTAATGAGGATCTGAAGTTTGTTTGAGATGCTCTTTATGACGCGCCAAGTCTCTGATCCGTATAGTAGCACTGAATTCACATTGTAGTTGAAAATCCGAATGTTATTCTCATGCTTAGTGTTGAGTGCTGTTGACCTCCAAGCAGACTTGAGAGTAATGAAACCTTGTATTGCTTTTCTGATTCTTGCTTTGATATCTTCGTCAGCTCCGCCGGTAGTTGAAACGATGCTTTCCAGGTAGGCAGGTGAAGGAGGTTGTTTCTTTCAGGTGATTGTTGTCTGTTGTTGTTGTTGCTGTTGGTGTTGGCCAGGAATCTTCATCACCTCTGTTTTCTCTATGTTCACCTGAAGTTTCTCCTATCTTTGATGCTCTGCCAGCTTGTTGCTCTTGACTTGCATATCTTCCAGTTTGTGGGAAATCAGACATATATCATCGGCGAAGTACAGATCCTCCAAGTTGTTGATGTGGGTCCATTTTATGCCTGTTTCCTCGTTGCCCACTGTTTGTCGCATTATGCAATCTACTTCAATCAGGAAGATCATTGACGATAGTAGACAGCCAACTTGTCTTACTCCCGTCTTTACTTCGCAGGCTTCCGTAAGCTTCCCGTTGTGGATTACTTGGCATGAAGCATTGTCGTACAACTGTTAGATGAGATGTATAATTGTCGATGGGACCCCACAGTAGTAGCGAAGTAGTTTCCAAATCACCTCTCGGTCGACGCTGTCAGGTGAAGGCCTTTTCAAAGTCGATGAAGTTGAGATAGAGAGGTGACTTCCATTCCAAGCTTTGTTCAGTGATGATCCGTAGAGTGGCGATTTGATCAATACATGACTTGTTTCTCTTGAATCAAGCTTGTTCCGGTCGTAGTTTTTCATCCAGGTTGGCTTGTTTGATTCTCTCTGTGATGACGCGGTTTAGTATTTTGCTTGGGATGGACAGGAGCATAATTCCGCGCCAGTTTTTGCAATATACTTCCTATATATATTATATATATTATATATATATATATATATATATCAGGCAAATACTATACGGGCAAACATCCTCCTGTTTAACATATGTTCAGAACTTCAGCACTGTGTTGTTATCATTTCCTTTGGTTCCGGTTTGAGCGTAGGGACTCAAACAAAACATATCCACTTTGCCCTGTCCTCTGCCATCCACTTCAGCTGGCCTTATAGTTGCATACAAGCTTTCATCTCCCCTCACACGACCTCCTTCATGTAGTTCTTGGACCGATACCTTATTCACCGTTTCTCACTCAGTTTTCACTCGACAGCATGGCGAAAGATGTTACCGAAATGCCTCTGTAATGTGTCCAGTCTATCTCCACTTACTTTGGCTTATTTTCTCAGCAACAGGCTCCTGATTGGTTCATTTCCAAAGTTTCTTGTTGTTAATTCTTTCTGGCCATTCCATCTTGAATATGGAACTAAGGCAGCTATTGACGAAAGTCATTAGCAAGCTGTTAGAAATGCTTTTTCTGAGGCTCAGACCAAGTTTCTGACCCATATAGAAGAATTGTCTTAATGTCGGTGTTGAAAATCCGAATCTCGATCTTTCTACTGAGTACAACACACTTCCAAACTGATTTCAGAATGATGAAAGTCTATCTTGCTTTTCCGATTTTGGTTTTGACATTTTTCATCGGTGCTGTGACCCCTGTAGTCGGAACGACCTAATAAATTTTTCTGAGGCAATATTTAATTCCGTATAAATCTCCTTATTACACACAGTAAAATAATGCTGTCTCAATGTGATCTATATAATGAACAAACTAATGTATAATTAGCATTTTTAATACAGAAATCTGACAGTGTGTTCCAAATTAGTATTCATATTTGTAATGTCGTAATGTGTCTTATCTGAGTGAAACTAGTGTGTGTGTGTGAAATTGAGATCTCTTGGTAATATGTAATTCAGCATTATAATCCTTGTATTCATCTGCAGCTCTTGCGTAATTTCGTATTCTCTGCTTTGTTTCTATGTGCATCCTGAGCACAACTCAATCATCAAACAATTCATATTATTACGTAACTTCATTTTAACAGCTGTTTGTGACAACTCATCACCTTTGTTACTACACTAGTTTCATCAGCACCCAATTTTCTTGACCGTTTTTGTATTATGTAACTCCACCCAAAACTTACTAATTATCACCAGCCATTTATTTAAAATAACCACAACGAATTGTATTTTTTGGTTGGAGGATTTCATCATGAGCTGACATCGGTTAGAAAATCATTGGAAAACCTGCAGGGAGTACTGGACAGCTGTTTGGTCCTAGTTTGGGACTCTTCACAGTATACACCCACCAACACGGTTCGAACCCAGGACCTTCTGGTTACAAGGCTAGTGAGCTAGCTCGTAGACCATGAAGCCAATAGGACCTGATCCAATAACCAGCCAATGAATTCTAACTTCTCCCGATTCATGATATAGCGCGACCACTTCGCAATGTCTTCTTCTTCGATGAGTAACTGACTCACCTTCAACCTGCTGCATCCTACTGGTCATGGCCCTATTAACGCAGTGACCTAGGTTTCTAGTGGTGAGCCGTGCCCAGTAGGATGCAGCAGGTTGAAGGTGAGTCAGATTTATTCAGAACTACGGTGGTGAGTCAGTAACTCATTGAAGTGGTCGAGCTATATCATGGATCGGAAGAAGTTAGAATTCATTGGCTGGTTATTGGATCAGGTCCTATTGGCTTCATGGTCTACGAGCTAGCTCACTAGCCTTGTAACCAGAAGGTCTTGGGTTCTAACCATGTTGGTGGGTGTGTACTGTGAAGAGTCCCAAACTGGGACGAAACAGCTGTCCAGTACTCCTTGGTGGTTTTTCAATGGTTCTCTAACTGATGTCAAATCAGGATGAAATCTTCCAACTAGTCAAAATAAATCCCTATAAAAACCAATACTTGACAATTGTAGTTTGTCTGACAAATTTAATGTACACATAAATATAAAAGAACCTATATATAACTACGATTGTAGAGCTAAGAAAAAGAAATTCACCGAAAAGAGATTCTTCGCTGAACTACGTGTTTTATTTTCACTAATTCCACATTTATTTATTTATTTTTGATTACAGCTTGATTCCACACACTGTATTTTTGGTACAAGTATGGAATTTTCAGCGTGGATATCGGTAGCCCAAATTTCGCAGGCCGACCATAGATATCAGGTGTGTGTCGGCAAGGGATCAAACCTTGAACCATGTGTATGGTCGGTGAGAGTCCTAACCACTGTGCCACCGACGCACATATATCATACATCGATATCGTTATGAGTCAAAAATTGTGCTCAAAATTTCATCCTGCAAATAATACTATTTCACAGTATGACATTAACAATAAACAAAAATTAATGTGGAATCCCTAGCTAAGTTTGCTTTCTTATTGGTATTAGTTAAGATAAAACAGTTATAAAAATGAGGTAATTCATGTTTACCCTAAGACTGAAAACATCTTTCACTGATAAATGTTGAAAGAGGAAGCAACCTCATATCCGCTATCAAACTGTATTTAAGAGTGGATTGTGTTCATGCGCTGGACAACATGTATTGTTAAAATGTTGTAGATTTGTTGATGAAATAATGTGGAAAATCTGTAGATAGTGAAGCTTTTAATACTGTTATGTTCGTTGTGCGGAGTGGTTTTAATGGGAACCTTAGATTATCCGTCTACACAACATCTCAAGGGCTGAGTTTATATTTTCATCAATGTAGTTGAAAAATTAGTCAATAGAAAGTGATTACTTACCTCATCTCGTTGATAATCAGATACAAATATTGTCCCCCAAGTGGATGATACTGCAATATCAAATGGACTTATCAATCGATCAGTCATTTCACCTGTATCCCCCAAACTTGAAATAAATGTTCCATCATGTGTGAAAAGCTAGGAAATATAAAGTATTTGAAAAGAGAAATTATGGATATTTCATTATTCCTATCTATTAAACATTCTTAAGATAGAAATTTTAAGAAATTTATAGATACTTTATTGGGCAAATTTTCAAGCACCTAAGCATTATTCACACTTATCAGCTAATTTATTCAAGTAAACTCTAGTACTGAAAGGCCTTTCCATCATAGTTTGGGACTCTTCATCAATGTACATCTACTGGGGTTCGAACCCAGGACCTGGTCACAAGGAGAGGTCTGCATGGGTTTGAACCCTGGCTGGTGCGTGCCAACCAAGAGTCCCAAACGAGGACGACTCGGCTGTCTAGTACTTTCTGGTTTCTAAGTTACTCTCAAACTGATGCCAGCTCGTGACTAAACCTGTAACCAATCAAATCCCTGCAAGCCAATATTTGGTAAAATTGAAAAGAACAAGAAGTTCAGAAAAGATGGCGATCTTTTCGGCGATTTCATTCTCAAAAGCAGTTGTACAATCGCATCTATATAGATTAGTTTACATGGATACAATTATTATTTGTTGAATTCCACATAGTAACGAAGATGATAATAAAATAATAAAGGTTAAAATTATTATCACCTTCGTTACTATATGGAATTCAACAAATAATAATTGTATCCATGTAAACTAATCTATATAGATGCGATTGTACAACTGCTTTTGAGAATGAAATCGCCGAAAAGATCGCCATCTTTTCTGAACTTCTTGTTCTTTTCAATCTAATGTTCCTATGGGTATTTTCCACTATTTGAAACATTTGATAAATCAAAGCGATCAAGAAATTAAATCATTGATGTTTAGATTACGGGTTTTGTAGGAGTTGTACTGATTTCAGTTTCGATTTTGCCACGAGCCAACATCGGTTAGAGTGATCATTGAAAATCAGAGGGAAATGGACAGTTGTTTCATCCCAGTTTGGAACTGTTCATCAATGTGCACCCATGTCTCCACTGAGGACTAAGCTTGTACTTCCACAATGGAGAAAATTTATTTTGACAAAGTCTTACAGTGCTGCACAGTAATATTTTCTGATAACATTTTGGCCAAAGATTATTGATCATAATCATATCAGCCAGATATGATAGACAATGAGAAGATCATTCCAACCTGAATTACTCATTCACAGAATCAAATGCTGTAATAGTGGACTGTCTATAACAAGAAACATATTGAAGCACGTATACAGTGGTATATTTGCTTATTTTCAACATCAAAGGGAACTGTACCTGTGTAGAAAAATAATGGTGTCAGGTCTGATGACGGCAAATATACCGTTGAATGCCAAAGCTTAGAAATCACGAAACTACTACATCTTCACAGCAGACATTTCAGTTTCAATAAAACTTAGTACTTCATATTTACAAGGATAATTACAACAATTTAAGAAGAACAGCTCTAGAAAACACTAGTGTAGCCCAGTTAACTTCCATAATTTTCCCAGTGTGAATTCTAGATTCTCGCTGGCATAATTTATCATGAACTGGTCTTCTGAGTAACTATATAGTCAGATAGTCATTTTGTCTGGTTAGTCCGCTGAGTAGAACTACCAACTGTTAGCTAAAATTAATGTCTTTTGTCACTCAATGTCAGTTTCTACAACCACTCACATTATTTGCAAAGAGATCTAATCAATTCACTTTTAAGCATTTTTCATTAGTACGCTAGCGCTAAGTGGAATGAGTTTTCACAAAACAGAGAGATTGAATAAGGTTGTTCACCCTTGCTTATTTTTTAATTGACATTCAGTATAAAATTAGTATTCACATAGCTATTCCTGCAGTGAAATCAAAACTATACTACCTTACAAACTGATGAGTTAATCACATTTCTAGGTTAATTTAAAGTCTATGATTTTAGGTAGTTTATCACAGACAGCACCTTTAGGAGGAATATTGGAATCCCTGAAAGACCCAATCTAGGATGCTCGATTTACACAGTGTTCATACAAGCTTCTGTGTGCTTGGTTGGAATCTATCTACTAAGATTTTTGACGTTTTTTAAGTCATATTATGGAGTGATCATCATTCAGTATCACTAAAGAATCGCCGCAGCCACGTTCACTTCAATTAATCCTATAATCTATCGCCGAATACTGCATCTCAGGTAAATTTACTTCCATTTGGGAGGATAGGCTACGTCTAGTGCTTTTTTGACATTTTAAGTTATTACGGACACATTAACGTCGCCTAGATTACTAGCTGGCTAGTTTTCTTGGCGGTCCCAAGCCCGGATAGAGAAGGAAGGTTGGGACGTGGTGCTAGCAACTCCACCCCTGTAAAACAAACAAATCGCTACAGAAACTTCAACGAATAAATATATAAAAATTCTAAAAACATAAACAATAGCCTTATTTTTCGCTGAAATCGTTGGAGTGAAATGACGCAGGTTGGTGAAGGCCTTCGAGAAGCCAGTCAGCCAATGTGCCTTCTTTCGATGAAAGCAAAAGTAAGGATGGGTACCTGCAATATTCGTACAATGTACGAAACTGGAAAGGCTGCACAGATAGCCACTGAAATGAGAAGATACAGAATAGAAGTGTTGGGAATCTGCGAAAGTATATGGAACAGAACTGGAAGGTGCCAACTACCTACTGGAGAAACAGTAATCTTTTCCGACCACCCAGAGGACAACCACGAGCACACCGAGGGAGTGGCCATCATGATGTCACCAACAGCAACCAAAGCTCTCATGCAATGGGAATCAATCTCCTCCAGGATAATGACAGTCAGGTTTAACTCAAAAGGAAGGAAAGTTACAGTCATTCAATGCTATGCGCCTACAAACGTCTCAGAACAAGAGAAGAAGGAGGCGTTCTACAGACAACTACAATCAATAATGGACAACGTCCCAAATGGCGATATCAAAATCCCGATGGGCGAGATGAATGCGAAGCTGTGAGGAAACAATACAGGAAGAGAACTCACCATGGGTTGAGAGGCCCTCGGTGAAATGAACGACAATGGTGAACTCTTCTCAGACTTCTGCGCCTTCAATGATTTGGTGATTGGTGGTAGTGTGTTCAGACACAAGGATATACACAACACGACATGGATTTCACCAGATGGAAACGCCAAAACCCAAATAGACTTCATCTCAATTTCAAGAAAGTGGAGACTGAGCCTACTGGACACAAGGTCAAGGAGAGGATCAGATGTGGGTTCAGACCACCATCTAGTACAAGGGACTTTCAAGGTGAAGCTTAAAGCCTCGAGGATAGCTGGGGATAGGCCACAATGCAAGTTCAACACTCGATTACTGAAGGACACAACCACAAAGGACACTTTCACTGCAACTGTCAGAGCAAAGCAGGAAACACTACGCGACATCGCCGAAGAATCATGCGTGGAAGAACATTGGAAATCTCTGAAGGCGATTCTCAACGAAACGTGTTCAACGGTTCTAAGAAGGTAGAAGAGACAAGACAAGGAATGGCTCTCAACGGACACTTGGAAACTAATAGAGGAGAGGAGAATGGTGAAAGAGAAAATGATTCAATGCAAGGATGGACAGGAGAAGGAGACGCTGAGCTCAACGTACACAGCATTGGACAAAGAAGTGAAGAAGAGTGCCAGGAAGGACAAAATACGATTATACGACAACCTCGCCACTGAGGCTGAGAAGGCAGCAGGCAAAAGAGACCTGAGGACATTACATCAGATAACCAAATCTCTATCCGGGAAGAGACCAACACAAGCGAAACCTATAAAAGACAGCCAAGGGAACCCAATCACCAAGGAAGAAAAACAGATTAAACAATAGGCGGACCACTTCAAAGGACTGTTGAACCGACCATCACCTGCAACCCGTCCAGAAATACCAACAACAGGGCGTACACACACAACTGCAAGTTGACACCAATCTCCCAACGAGAGCTGAAGTCTTGAATGCAATCAAGCTTCTGAAAGCTGGAAAAGTAGCTGGACCAGATGGAATACCCCCTGAAGCACTAAAAGGGGACCCAGAGACTAAAGCAGACAAGCTGACTTCATCATTGGGAGGAGGGAAAGGTGCCTACTGACTGGAGGAACGGTTACCTAGTGAAACTACCAACAAAGGAAGACTCACGCCTCATTCTGCAAGAGGACTGGCGAGGAATCATGCTCCTGTCGACGCCAAGTAAAATCCTGAGTCGCATCATCCTGGAGAGAATAAAGGACGCACTGGATACACAACTCCAACCAGAACAAACTGGATTCAGGAAAGGCAAATCATGTACTGACCAAATTGCAACTCTATGCATCATCATCGAACAAAGCATGGAATGGCAATCAAACCTCTACCTCAACTTTATAGACATTGAGAAGGCCTTTGACACCGTTGACCGTGAAGTAATTTGGAAACCACTCGAGTACTACGGAGTACCCCAAATATTCATCAACCTCATTCAACAGCTGTACGACACATGTCAAGTGATCAACAACGGAAAACTCAGCGAGGCGTTTGGAGTAAACACAGGAGTCAGACAAGGGTGCTGGCTTATTATCACCAATGATATTCCTAATTGTGATGGACTGACTGGATTATGTGTCAGACAGTGGGAAACGAGAAGACAGGGATATCGTGGACCGACCGACGTGAAGAACCTAGAAGACATGTATTTCGCGCGTGGATGATTTATGTTTGGTGTCACTGTCACAAAATCGAAGACTTACAAGCGAAAACCGACAAACTGGTCGAAGAAGCAGCCGGCGAAGACAGGACTCCAGGTGAACATTGACAAGACGGAGGTTATGAAAATAACCAACCAACAACAACAGCAGCAACATCCAGCGCCAATCGCCATCAACGGGAGGGATTTGAAAGAGGTTACTTCATTCACTTATCTAGCATTGAGCATTATCTCAACTACAGGAAGTCGGAACGGACTAACATGTCAAATCGAGTGAGAATCGGGAAGGCAGGTGAGAAACACATTCATCAACCTGAAACCAATCTGGAGATCTTCGTCACTCAGCCAGCATCAACAACAAAATTCA